AAAAAAGAAAAAAGGATTCGCTGCGAGCAGGGTTCGAACCTACGCGGGCAATGCCCATTGGATTTCAAGTCCAACTCCTTAACCACTCGGACATCGCAGCCCGGGAGAGGGAGGGTGCGGCGGGCAATGAGAATAGGCGGGGAAGAGGGAGGGGGAGAGAGGGGAGAACTGATTGCGGGTGGTTTGTTTGTACACTGTACTGTTTCGAGGAAAAGTCCGCAATTTGTCGTAAGATACGGTGTGAATCTGGAATTTTGTTAGTTTTCAGTGGATTTTTGAAATGATTTGAAGGGAAAAAGATGGGCGATGAGGAGAATACGTTTTTGCACAAAAAACTGTCTTTTGCACAGGATTCAGCCCAGTTTAGCGGGGGTCTTCCAATTCACCAAATCTCACGACAAAATGCAGAAATTATCCAAAAACCACCGGCAAATTCAAATTTTTTGTGTTTTTTCTATTTTTTTTGGTCCTAAACCTTATCCCTAGACACGTGGAGTCCTAGAAACACCCGAAAATATATAGCTAGATTACTGTAACAGTAATAAAAAAAAATAATTCCAATTTGTTTAAGTTCTCGCTGTTTTTCCGCCCCAAAACCCCTTGACACTCACCCCTGGACACTGGGAATCCTTGAAACACTCCTGGTCAGAAACACAATGTGGCTGAAAAGATGCAACCTTTGGTTTTGTTGGTTTCGCTGTTGTTGTGGTCGGTTTTTCAGTAGTTGAGGTGGTAGTGGATGGAGCAGTTGTTGTTGTTGTGGTTGTGGTTGTCGTGGTCTCCGGGGTCGTCGTAGTAGGGTATGGCTCCTGGGGAGCCAAGGTGGGAGGCGATGGAGGAGCTGGGAATAGGATAGGGTCGGCTGGAAAAGTTTTTTTTCCAGTTTGGTGGCCTTTGATGGAGCTGGGAACTCATGGAATACTTCGAAAAAAGAAAAAAAAAGTTCTACCTCATTTGGCCGGTCAAAGGCGTTCCCGATTGCGCCACGGCGCACCTCACCTCTAGTTGGTGAAAAAAGAAAAAAAAACAAAACCATTGCGCCTCTGAGGCGTTTGAACCCGGGGATTGTCTGACTGATAGACAAGAGCGCTACCGGCTGCGCCATCCAGGGAAGAGGCGCGTCGGCCGGCTGAGAAGCCCCTGACGCCTACCGACCGCATGGCGCAACTGGTAACACTCTTGGTCCAATCAGACCAGTCTCGGGTTCAAACCCCCACTAGATGTTTTTTTTTCACTTACCCTTCTTCAAGTACTCATCCTCCTCGGCTGATGCATCCCCACCACTTCCCTCCAAATTCTGCAATTCATCATCACTGCTAAGTTCCCTCCGCAAGGTTCGTGCGATTTCCACCTCCAAAAGCTGCAAGAAACCGTCGTCGTCCAGTCCAACGGCCACTCGTTTTGCTGGGGATTTGGCTGGGAGGAGAAGCGGGAGTAGGAATAGGATCAAGGTTGAAAATTGGGATTTGAGATTCATGGGGCGTCTGGAAAAATATTTTGTAGATCAAAAAAGTCGAGAAGCAAGATTCCGAAAAAAAAATAAAAAAATTAGAAAAAAATCGAAAGTTCTGTTCAAGAAAGATAGCCCTAAAAGTGAAACTGAGAAAAAAAAATTTTCGAAAAAAAAATTAATTTGATAAGAAAGGTTCCACTAAAGAAAACACATGACAAATCACCAACAATTTAGAAATTCTTCCCCTCCAAAAGGACTTCACCCTCCTCCCCACAATAATATCCCGTTCTTGAAGTCGAAATGATCTCTCTCTTCCTTTCCCCTTTTGCCTCCTCCTTCCTTCTCTTCTCGGTTTCTTCATTCGAGGAGAGTGAAGAAGAACAAGAAAACGACATCATGAAACTGGGTGTTCATCTCTATTTCTCCTGAGAATGATAGAAAATGATGGAGGAGGAGAAGGGGAGACACCTACGGATTATCTCTTTTGAATTGTTGCCAAAGTTGTTTCGAACTAAGTTTTTTTATTTAGGGAAAAGAGACGGAGAGAAAAACTTGTGTAGTGGTCAGAAATATGTTTCGACTGGAATGCATTGTGACCATCTATTTCCAGATATTGAGGAAAAAAATCAAACAGCTCAACTGACCGATCATTCCCCCAGATTGTTTATGTAATCGAAAGAACCAATTGAAAATTCAAAATGAAAACTGAGAAATGTGCACTATAAATATAAACTTATTGCATTATTTCCAGTTGAACCAAATTGATTTTTTCAGATTTCAAAAAAAATGCTTTTGGGCAGAAAAATGAACACAAAACCTCTAGGAAGGGAATTATTGTTTTTAGTACCAACTTTACAACTTTCTTGACCTAGATAACTCATCAAACCCTGGGTGGTTATTACCATCTGTTTTTATGGTTTGTCATAAAAATGTGTACTTGTTTGGAGGTTGGTAATACTTCATAACCCTCTTTTCCTGGTTGTCTCGACCGGTTTTGTCTTCACCAATTCAAGCCTGTATGGCAGATCCTGGCATTATTTAGTCTGGGTACTTCAAGACTTGGCCTGGTCCCCTTCACCCTTAGCAAGTCAAATGCGACCTAGTGCGGGCTGATCCGGGACCGGTGCCAGCCGATCCAGTTTGGCCCAGTTCACTCTGGTGCAATCCAATCCCCACTTGGTCCGATTTTCTATTTTTTCGATCCAGTTCGTCCGGGCGGACCCGGCCAATCCGATTTGACCTAATTTTCTTGGCTTGGCTCGGTTTGGTTTGGCCAATATGGTCTAGCCCGGGTTCATCCAGTCCAACCCTGTTCATTTCGGCCCGAAAGGTCTATCTTGGTTCGGCTTCATTAATTTCTCATTTTCCCGCTCCCACCTCCCTCTATTTGTTGTCCCTCTGTCTAATAAATTATGTAAAAATTCATTTTTATGTTAATCATCACTGACAACACCACCATTTTTCCTCTCTTTCTCATTCTATTTTTGCTATTTTTTTTGCCTATTTCCCCAAACCTAGCTATGACCATCCTTCTACTTCTCCTCTTACCCACCCCCGGATCCCTCTCCCAACTTGACATTTGTGAACCCGCCGTCGACCCCAGCCCATCTTGCCTCTGTACTCGCCTGGACTTCATGGATACCTACTCATTTCGTTTGAGATTTGGAAACTCTACCTTCGCCGGATCCAACTACCAAGTCACAACGCCATCCTTCACCTCTAACTATGACTGTGTCGCCGAGCAACCTCTACAGTGTACCCCAACGTCTTCAGATGGGAAAACTTCCGCTTTCGCAGTGTTCAATATGAAGTACATCCTGGAGCTCCCGGATAGGGTCCCATCGGTATTTTGCTATCCGAGTATCCGTATGTTCGACATGCAGAGAGGGTTGGTTCAGCAGTACCAGGCAAGTGGGGAACTTCCGACGGAGGATTTGGATTTGCATTTGACGGAGGTTGGATGTATTGAGTATGGAGGGTCGAACGATGGAGAGGCGACTCCTCCAGGCACGACAACTACGGCAACGGAGGTTCCAGAAGGTAAGGCAAGGGGCGGGATGGGTAGTTGAGGCTAGGCAGTGAGGCTTAGCCACTCTTAGATCCGCCTAGTGACGTCTAGATCAGCCTATGTCGTCCTAGCTAAGCCTAGGTCAGTCTAGTCCCGCCTAGATCAGCCTAGCCATGCTTAGATCAGCCTAGTTACGCCTAGATCGGCCTAGCCACCTCGAGAACAGCCTAGCCATGCCTAGATCAGTCTGGTCACGCCTAGAACAGCCTAGACACGCCTAGATCTGCCTAGCCACGCCTGGCCAATTTCATTGCTTGCCCCAGGACCCCCTTTGAGCTTGTCCCTACCACGCTTAAGGCTCATTTCAGGCTAACTCGGGGCTCCCTCCCTCCCCTATAATCAAATTTCCAGACTGCACCTGCTCCCGGCCACCTCCAATTATGACTCAGCCAATTTTCGATATGCAATTTGCGTTCAACTTCCCCAAGACCAAGTTTAAGTTCGGTGTGCCCAAGTTCGATTATACTATTGGATGTCAGCATGTCTCAATGTTTTGCCCAAGTGGTATGAAGGCACTAATGTTCTTCAATGATCAATATGTGAGTTTTGTGCGGGGGGTATGGGTCAGTTAGGGTCAAAGCTAGCCACTTCAAAGCTCACGGAGCACTCAAAAATCTAGGAACTGTATCCAATGGTGTCAGCCGCGTTGTGGTTGCGTCGCGGCCTAGCCTCTGAGCATTTGGTCTTGGCCAAGACTGTCAGATCAAAATTTTCCAGATCCTCAACGGAAACGACGTATTAGACGTCGCCTCCAAGTACAACCTTCACTGTAATTCCACCTCTGTCAGATGGATGTTCGATGAGCCATCTAACCAAAAATTCAAAAGTCTTCTTGGCATCGAAACCATCGATTTGTCCTATTTGGGATGTGCCACAATCAGTTCTTGAGAGGGATTATTGATTTATTTATTCTTTTTGGATTTTACAATAAATTTTGAGAATCATAAGTGTGGGAGAAAAAGAGAAGACAACAGATAATTAGAGATCAGGATAAGGATTGACACAATTTTTGGTAGAGGGTATTTTTGGAGACAAGAGGAGTGGAGATTGGGAAAAAATATTTGGAATCGGAGAAATTTTCAAAAATAGTTGATCATGCAAAAATAAATAGGAAAAAAACCGTCGAGAATCGATAAAATTCAAAAGTTTGTTCAGAAAGGGAACCGTAACACGAGGAAATCCATAACTTGGACCAAAAAAAATACAAAAAAGGTTCAGATTCTTAATAAAGTCCAGATTTGTGTAGATTACTTTGAATGATCATCGAAATCACCGAATCGAGAATTTTTTGTACTTGTGTCGTGTCTGTGGCGCATGTCTCGTGTACGTAGAACGTCTTTTTCGGGTTATTGGAGAGAGATTCGAATTTGGTTTTGATGAAGGCCACGCATTCGTCGTATTGTTGTGCGCCTGGAATTTAGGGGGTTGTGGAGAAATGAGGTACCCTTTGCTGGTGTAAAATGAAAAAACAAAAAGGTTTTGCCTCAGAGGGGGTTGAACCCGGGACCTGTCTGACAGGTGTCAAAAGCGCTACCGGCTGCGCCACGCGGAAGGCGTCAGGGGCTTCTCAGCCGTTCGGCGCGCCGCTTCCTCGGATGGCGCAGCCGGTAGCGCTTTTGTTCATCAATCAGAGGGCTCGGGTTCGAACCCAACTGGATTCAATTTTTTTTGTTTTTTTTTTCCATAATGAACTAGAGCACATGGAGCTGAAATGAGACATCAGCTTTTCTCATTTTAATCATTCTCCACGCTCTCACGGTTTTCATAAAATTTTCAGATCCAAGTTCTTCATTTTCTAACATCACATTTCCCCCCTACTCACCTCGATACTCTGGGAACGCCTTCTGAATATTCTCATGCTTTATTTTCTCGGCGAACAAATCCTTCTTGTTCAGGAACAGAATGATATTGGTGTTGTGGAACCATCGAGAGTTGCAAATCGATTCGAATAGGCGCATTGATTCGATCATTCGGTTCTGAAAACATCAGATTTTACGACAATTCACAGAAAAGCAAAATTTACCGTTGTCTCATCTTCAAAGAGCACTTCGTTGTATTCTGAGAGAGCTGCGATGAAAATGATGGCGTTGACATCCTCGAAGCAGTGGATCCATTTTTTACGTTCCGATCGTTGACCTCCTACGTCGAATACTCTGGAATATTGAGGTTTAGGAGGTCTGTCTGTGTGTCTGTGCTCACAAGGCTCCCAGTGCTTCCAGGGCTCCTAGAGCTCCCAGAGCCTTTAGAGCTTTCAGGGCTCCCAGACCTTCCAAGACTCCCAGGACTGCCAGGGTTCCGAGAGCTCCCCGGCCTTCCACGGCTTCAGACCCCTCCCCCAGAATAGCGACTCACCTAAACTTGACCCTCTTAATCTCAAATTGCACCTCTACAATTCCCGTGGTTTTTGTACGCAACAGAAGGATATCGTCGTCATTTGGCGCGTAATCCGGCAATCGGATTCGTGGCAGACTGTCGAAGAAACTGAAAATTCAAGTTTTGAATTTTGAATTCCCGCCAAATCTTCTAACTGTTTAGTGTTATCCCCAATATCCCGGATATTATATTGCCTGCGTTGATCGTACATCTTCTTGACCACGGGGTCACTCCAGAGTCTCTGAAATCGAGTAAACTGAGGAATGGGTCTGAAAAAAGGGTACAATACCTCCACATACTCCGCGGCGTCCTCCTGGAATTTCTTGTTTTGCATGTCCTTGATGAAGAGGGTTAGCATGTGGACATCGCTCTGAAAAATTGGTTTTTGAGGTGGATTGGGGACTAAAAAGAGACTGAAACCCTAGAGTTTAGGGGAGGGTGGAAACAAAAAAAAAACAAAAAAAATTAGCACCGATGGGTTTGAACCCAGGGGTCCGTCTGGCTGAAGAACAAGAGCGCTACCGGCTGCGCCGCGTGGGCGAAAGAATTTTTGGGCTTTCCCATCCTGGCCAAAATTTTTTGAGTATGATTCCTATTTTTAGTCTAAACCTGGAGGCGGGGGAATCTATTCTGCGTGGGCCCGGGGTTATGTTAAGAGAAGCTTTTTTAGCGGAGTGTTGTCTATTTTCGACGAAACCATGCTATATTCTGGTACCCCCTTGCTTATGAGGAATACTTAGGTTTTCAGCGTGAAAACGATTTCAATTTCTCAAATTTTCTAAATTTATGCTCCTTTTTTTTCCGATTATATCGACTTTTTTTCCAATCCGGGCCCCATCGG